TTGTGACCCTGAACTAATGCATTTCCCAAAAAATTTAAATATACAAAAAAAAAAAAAATTTAAATAAAAAAAAAAAAACAAAAAAAAACAAATTTAAATATAAAAAAAAGAATTAATATATACGTACTCGTAGGGTATACTAAAATTTTATGTACCCATTATTTTTGTAGTATGAGATCATCGATCATATGCATCGGGGTATAAATCGTGCATAGACGATAAATTAAATGGGTTGTAAACAGATGACGTATATAACATATAACCCCATGGTATAAATGGAAAAGCGAAATTAGGTAAAAAAGTGCTTTTATCTCTTTTTTTCTTGCATGAAACACATAACAAACACAAACAAATGCATATCAAACTCATAATAAACGCTTAACAAACGTAAAAGTACTAAAAAAAGATCACTTACTCACGCATATATCTCTTGAAAGCCTGCGTTAGGTTCGTTATTGTATGACAGTCATTTATAGTTTGGGCATTATAGTAGTTTATTCTTAACACTAGTTTTTAGATGCGTTCTATTTAAATTATATCAGTTTATCCAACAAATCTTCAAATGGAACATGAAGACAATTTGGAAATTCTTGAAGGGCAGCCTTCAAGTGTTGTAGCATAGTAAGTTGAAAGTTTTTAAGTTTTGTTTTTGACTCAAATTATTGCTATTTCGTCAGCTAATCTAAACTAAAATGAAGTGATTAGAACTTGGTTGAAACGGTAGATCCATTGGTGGTTGGGCAAACTTTTAATAGTTGGGAAAGTGAAGACAATTTGGAAATTTTTGAAGAGCAGTCTTCAAGTGTTGTAGTTTGGTAAGTCGGAAGTTTTTAAGTTTTGCTTTTGACTCAAATTATTACAATTTCATCGGCTAATTTAAACTAAAATAAAGTGATCAGAACTTGGTTGAAACAGTAGATTCTCCGGCAGTTGGGCAAACTTTTAATAGTTGAGAAGAAATAGATCGATTTATGTTTCTCTATATGAAGTCCCAAAAATTCGTCTGTATCATACGTGGCTCAGAATATAATAATGGAGTCTGTCGAAGCTGTCGATATGCCTGTGAATACCAAGGTTGTAAAGCTGTGAAGAAAAAGACTAATATTGTTGAAAATCAATGGGAAACACAAAGTAAATGTACAGGGTATCGTTGGCAAATTCGTGCAAGTTGTCCTAAAACAACAGGTATATTAAGTATTAATTCTCTTTGTTTGAGTCATAATGACCATTCAATAAAAGATGAAACCAATAGGTTTGCTGTAAAATATCATGCGTTTACTAAAGATATGTTAAATGATATCAAGTTTTGGACCAAAACTGGCAATATTACTATGAGAACTCAGTATCAAATGTTGATAAATCGGTATCCCAATGCCTTTTTTTTGCCTCAAGACCTCTCAAATGCTATTCAAACTTTCAAACAACAAAATCACGTTGAATTTGAGGCTGCAGTCTTACTTAATTATCTACTTGAACGTAAAAGTGAAGATACTAGATAGATCGTAAATTGGAAAGTTGATCCCACAAACAATTCACTTGTATCTCTATTCTGGATGTTACCTGATCAACATGATTTGTATCTTCAATATTGAGATGTTGTTCAGCATGATAATACGTATTCAACAAATCAATTCAAAATGGCACTAGGTTTTTTTGTAATAGTAGATAATAATAATTGGTCTAAATTGGTAGGGCAAGCTCTTATAAGCGAAGAAATAGTTAAAAGCTATGAATGGATCTTTCAAACTTTGGTTACAAATACAAAAGCTGCACCTTTAACGATAATCACTGATAACGATCTTGCTGTTAATGCTGCGATTGTTAGTGTTTTACCTGATTTATATCATATTCATTGCATATTTCATATAGAACAGAACTTAATAAAGAATTTAAAAGGCAGACTAGGAGAACGATATAATGAATTTTCAACACATTGGTATCAAATACGTAATTCGCTGTCATACAAACGATTTGATGATTTATGGAATAAACTTTTGACAAAATTTCCTGATACTGCATTGTATCTCAATCATGCTCTCTATGGTGAAAAACAACGTTGGGCTCTTTGTTACATTTCTAGAGTTTTCACTGCTAAAATGCAGTCGACACAATGTGTGGAAGGTCAAAATGCAATTATAAAAAATTCAGTAAATGGTAATACATCATTAATAAACCTTGCAAAGCATATTGATGAACAAGGTCGTGCATCTACCTTGATTCAATATAAAACTTGAGTTCATTCTATTACGGGGTCTACACTTACTCATGCAAGTTCTGAATTTTTACCCGACATTAATAAATGGATTACTACTTATTTAACACAAGCTTTTTTATCTATACAACGGCAAAAAGTTGCTCAAGCTATATGGTATACACCATAGCTTATTAATAATATTCAAGACTTAGGATTACAATTAGATTCTATTAAACAATTTGACTTCAGTACACAATGTAACTTAGATGAACAATCTGACTAGATTGAAC